GAGGATTTCTTTGTATGTGGTTGATCTTTGGCTAAAAGTGTTGATAACTATGTTGAAGAGTAGCAACAAAAAGAGTCAAATCAAATGGAAAGCAAAGAATCAAATATTGCAATCATGGTTGAAGTATGAAGAAGAAATGATTTGAAGGTTCCAACCAAAATGTCATAGGGGAGTGTTGGAGTTGTAACATTTTGTTGTCACATGAAGAATTGTATTTTTATTGTAATCTAGTTTGTAACTAGTTTAGTTGAAATATCTAACTAAGTTGATGTTAAGTTAGACTAGACTATAACTAGTACAACACAAAGTAGTAAACCATTCTACAAGTAAAGTAAGTTCTAGTAGCAAAGTTGAAAGCTACTACTTGCAAGTGGATAGTCAAGTGGTAGAAAATATCTCTAAATATCTTGTAGAATATCTAGTAAGTTTGGCTATAAATAGAGCCAATTTGTAAGAGAAATATGTGGGAATAAATGAAGGATTTGTAATAAAAAAACCATCTTTAACAATGTAGAAATTCAAAGCTCCTTCCTCCTCTGATCTGTTCTTCAAGAATAGCAGAGTATATGCATAAATTTATATGTTTTTCTTATATTTTATGCTTGTAAAAAGACCGGTAAGCTATGCATTAACCGGTACACAATCCATGTTTTGTTAAGTCTTCAATACACTCCTCTATACACAAAATCAAAGCTGTTAAGGGCTCTCTTAAAAGAGTCTTAGATTAAAGTCAAAATCCCAACATCCTAACTTTCATTTTGCTTCATCTTGTTATTTAGTTCAAGGTAATTACCTAAAATTTGTATGTACAGAAGTATCACATGAACGAATTTTATGCATTATGTATCCCAGTCATCATCGCCATAGAGCAATACCTTATTTTCTGTCACTGCTGTATTGGAGAAGACATCTGCCACTAGTGCTGCTATTCGTGACTTTGCAACCTGTTAATCGAGAAGAACGGGGAATTGTAAGGAACGGGTAGAAAATACTGAAGAAGATAACAGTTTGTCTAAAATGTCTTCTTTGCGTCTACTACAAAATCTTGGAGATATGCAGCTTTAACTGAAAAACCAGTATAACAGTAACATGCTCAAACTTCCAAAATGAAAAAGAAATTGCATACATTACATTACTTTGTAGTCGTTCGCTGCAGTACTTCTCTCAGCTGAAACTACAATGTTATAGGAACTCTCAGGCGAAAAATCTTCTGTTAGCTTGGTCTTTATGAGGGTATAGGCAACATCAGTCTCGACTAGCTTTTGCAGAACTTCTGTCAATGTCAAGGGTTGAGATCTTGAGAAGAGATTATTGAAGAAAGAAGAGACCCCATCGAGCACATTGTAGGTGGAGGCAGTTAGTGAGGATTCATCATATACTATTGCCACATGACCAACATTTGCCAGTTGTGCAGCCTGAATTACTTGCAATGCATCTGCGGTGCTTACCTCTGCACCCGGACCATTCTCTTCTGGACCTATGGTGACTACAACTTTGCTAGCATTTCCTATTGCTTTCGCAATTGATTCTGCATCTTGGTATTTGGATTCTACAGCATTCAGGCGCTTCGATTCGCTGTTAGATATTATCTGAAATGAAGACACACGTACTTGTAACTGGGAATAACCAGCTACGTGATGATATTTTAATGCCTACATTTGCATATAATTCCTAGCTCGTCTCCAATTATTACTTATGTAGAGTGCATTTTGCCAAAATCACAGGTGTTGAGTGCCATTTTTCTATGTTGTGCACATAAACTTTCTCCTGATTCAGAATGTTAAATAGGTTTAAGAGCTAACCTTATATTTGGAGGCCAACAGGGCCAACTCTTGTGCAGCACCAAGGTCTGGAACACCAGCTCTCACACTAAACCCGTCCCGAAGAAGTGTTTGGGCAATGCGTATTCCAGCTAGCCCAGTAGCACCAGCTACAAACACCATTCCAGGTTCTTTACGCCTTTGGCTTCCCAAACTCAAGCCCGAAGACGGATTGATCACTGCTGGAACCAAAGACTTTACATCAGGTAAATTCCCAAAGTTGAACCGAAAAGGATTCGAATTGCTCGAATTCCCTTCTTGGCTTTCTTCAGAGGTATCAGCAGTTTTCCCTAGCCGGAATGGCGGGAAGGATCCACCTTTCTTGGAGAACACCGTAAGCCTCCTTCGACTTTCGAATCCTAATTTTGAATGGGGAGTTGTAATTAGAAGAAATGAATTTGATACGAGTGTTGGCGCCATGAATGGATAAGAGGAGAAAATATAGTGTCAGCAGGCTTCTGAATTTTCATCCATTCATTTTGCTGATATGAATGTTGAATGAGAGAGGCACAGGCCAGTTTCCGTGTTGTTGGGTGCCATGGAAAAGGTTCATTTTTGGTTGGATTTGGGATGTTGGATGCATCCAATGTGAGCCAGCCACGTGGTTCATTTTTATCTTCTTTAGAATACTGCTAACCAGACATTTCTAAGTAGCAAAATCTACGTGCTAACAATACAATCCAATGGGTTTTTTATAAAAAAGATATCAAGAATTTCACTTAAAAGAAAATTGTATAACATAATTTTATATAATTTGAAAATAATTTAAGTAAGAGAAGGGTAATTGGCGTAAAGCGGCCACCAATTGCCTTCATTGCGCAAATCGTTTATATCGTTTCAATTTTGTCATTTGGATCATTGGATCAATCTTCCTTTACTCGAAGCATCCTTGCCATCATTAAAGGCTGCTGCTTCAAATGCTTGTTCAATCCTCAAAATTATTTGTTAGTGATTCACACAAGCAACCTAGATTCAAGAGGAGGCAAATATCATTTTAGAATAGGTTACTCGCGTTAAATTCTTGATATTTGTTTGTTTTTTCTTCCACTTCGAAGGTTCGAATCTAATTTCTTCTCTATCTCCTCTTCTTTGATTCCAACATTTTTGTGCCTGAGATTTCATGCGCCTCATGACATACTTGTAAGAGTTTTCATCCGAATCAAATTCACTAATCGAGGGAGAGTGTCCTCTTATGTGTCATGTCGACCCTCTTATGCGCATTCAATTATATGTACAAAAAAATCTCTGGATTTTTACGAAAGCTAATGTTTATTTATAAAGGTAAAAAGTAAAAAGTCAATCTTTTACATTTTGGGCATATAACCCAACAAGTACGACATACCGACATATCAACAAATCAATAGAGCTTCTCAAGGGAGACGAGATGTGGTACATCGCAACTTAGACTCACAAGATGCAAATGGCGTGTAACCCAGGTTTGGTCTCCATTTTTCTAAAATTCATTTTTTTTTTCAAACTTATTTTTAACCATATATTTCATAGATCCACAATCTTTATCAAATTTTCAACCTTACATGATATCAACTTTTATAAAAATTTACTAAAAATCTGAATTTTAACAAAACCAAGCAGTTGCATAATAGCAACGTGCTTGGTCTATAGGTTGTTTAACCTCATTAAATAGAACATGAAGTGTAGAGTAACGTAAAGAACTTTTCCGTTTTGCAATTAGAGTGATAACAAAAAGTCTCTGTTCAATTTAGCTAAAAATTAGATTTTTTAGTAAATTTTATAAAAGTTGATAAAATAAAGAATAAAAAATTGATAAAAATTATGGATCCTATAAAATTATTGGTTGAAAATGAATTTTAGAGCTTCCACACATAGCGTTGTATACAGTAGATTGTTAACTTGGGCGCTAATGACAGCCCAAGTGTAATGACGTCGCCTATCGTGCATGTAGATAACCCACTCGACATCCAATATGTCGACGTGCACCAGCTTCATGAAATTATGACGCGTTGAAGTATTGGACACCCGATACGTTAGTTTTCTCTTATTGGAGGAATGTATCATGCGGAAACCTAAAAAATAGCGTTCTCACATTGACAGAATTTGATGGACCGGCGAAGCGATCCAAACGACACAATATTTTTGAAATTGGTGTCATCGTCCTATTTTGATTTTTTGATGACGCGTAAAGTGCAACGTCCATGTCCAAGCTCATGAATGCTCACACCACAACAACATGAGTGAAGCTCATGAATGCTCACACCACAACAACATGAGTGACGATAGGGGGCATTCCAGCATTCGACAACACGAAGTGAAGCATCTTCAGCCGATCATTGTCAATACGGTCTTCGCACATGCACTTTGCCCATGGAGACTTTTGTCTTTATTATGAGATTATGATTCTGAATAAAATTTACAGTTGACGTTCAAACTCATCGAAGTACTAATAAACTGATCAACACATAATAAGCATCCAGCGTTGATGGTGTATCAACCTACACAGCTAATAGCACAAGTCTTACGAGCTGAATTGCGTCATTTTCGTTAAGTAATCAGCAAAATTTTGGACGCCCCACCCACCCATATCCCTCCAATGAGTATATCTCAACTGCACCAAATCAAGATCCAAACATATTGACAACATAGTGCAGCGAACGGCGTCAAAACATTATCCTATCCACAAAACCCTAATCGTACACGCCTCGATAGAAGAAAATATGGACGGCAAGACAAAGAATTCATGGACAAGACGTTGGTTGCATTGGCTGCAACCACAAAAAAGTTTTAATTAATTGCCAAGAAGTGGTATCACCATTGATTTATAAAAATTGTAACCCACATTTAAGGAGAGAGAAAACTAAACATAAACAGTGTTCACCCAATAACTGTTTAAACTTTCATAAGAGTTAGTTCAATAACTATAAGCAATTTCATAATACAACTAAAACGTTATATCCTCTTGAAGATGAATATGTTTCATTCGCCTGGAATCAATAGGAACATTCATATTGAAACTAGATAGTTATTGAGCATGTTTAATAGAGCTTATGGAACTTTCTTATAAGCCCACGAAGTGTGGGACCCATGCTATGTGGCTTATAATATGTCATAAGTAGGGGCTCCCTTGCTTGTGCTATTTTATAAGCAACACAAAGTGCGGGTTATAACTAAGTAGCTATAACTGAGCAATTAAAGAACAAATTTAAGGTACCAGAAGTGTATGCAGTATGCAAAAAATAGCAATCACAAGACAAGAAACACCAACAACCAGCATGAAACACACGTCATGTCTTATTCACAATAAATTAGGGGTCGGATACATAATACAAAGAGCAATTAACAACTAGTAGTCAGCAATCACTATGGCGATTTGTTGTTTCTCAATAAAAAAGTGGCTCAATGCATAATACAAAGAAGCAATAACAGTGTCTTAAAGAGAAGGGTAGCTTGTATACGTCTGAGGAGAGTAATTTATATAACAATACATTTAGTAGCAACTGACAGCAAGTAGGTGGGATTTATTTAAGGAGAACTTTCCACTTTAACAACTTGTGATCTTTTAGGTATCCAACTCAGGTACAATCTCAAATATTTCTGTTTGGATACCTCAAGGTGTCTTCAATGATACCTCTAAGTCTCCGTGAACACCCAACAGATCCAGAGCTGCAATTCGAGCTTCTTAGGAGTTGTGGTTCGTGGGTTAATATCTTGGTAAATCTGAATCTGTGCTAGAAGATTAGACATAACAATTAGCAAGTTGGGTCCCACTCTTTAGTTAGAAAAAAAAAATAGAACAGTTCCATAAGGCAGATATCCAGATTTGCATCTATAGAAGATCTCAAAATAGCAAAATGTTCAATTTCTCACAATAACTACTTTTTTCACATAATTACATCACTCTTCTTCTTTAAGTTACATTCTCGTTTTATATTTTAGACTCTGAACATTTATAAGCCGTCAAAGGCATCTGAAATTCAAAGTAGGGACTTCACAGTTCATATGATAAAATCCCAATACTTGTGTAGCCTGTGAGGTAAGATGCTTGCCATCAAAAGATGGATGAGTTTGACTTTGTAGTGCACCTTCATTGAATTATTAAACCCAGGAAAGAATGCAAAGTAAAGAACTACTTCATTTCACATGCTAACAATACCTAAATGTCTGTTTCTTAGGAACTAAACCGAAATCCTACAGAGTTCCAAACAACCAAGAGTAGGAACTCTAGGACATCAAAATTTTTCCACTCATTAACTGATTGATCTCTATTAATATGAGCGGATATTTCTGATATTACGGATTGCACCATACGTATTGTAGTTCTCAGGAATCTGCATCATGTATTGATCCCACCAAACAAGAGGCTTCTTGAAAAGTAATACCAATTTTTGTGATCATGGAATAAGCATTAAGAAATGGAGAGGTCAAAAGTCATAGCAATTTCGGAGATGACTATACCCTGGACCTGAAGCTAGCGTGTCTACCTCTATATACTTGAAAATATAGCAAATTGATGCAATGACAAAACAAAGCCCTAATGATAAAAAGTGACGCCAAATTGTACGTGATTGTTCCTGATGAAAGTGATTTACAGAGTTTCCTTTGTCTTACTTTCCAACAAAAAAAGGAATAAATACCCAGGCTCAAAAGTTAGCAACACTGTAATGGAAGAGCAATAACAGATTATTCAACTAGAAGTATCCTCTATCTGGAGTGGACTTTGGTAACTATGCAATGTAGCTTTAAAGTTAAAAGAGGGGTTAAAAAAATGAACAAGGAAAGTGAAGAAAGTTTAAGCTTGTCTAAACACATCTAACCTCCAATGGAATCTAATTTATCATGCAGACAAAAGTAGATCATAGATGATAACCAGGATTGGATTTCAACAAACAAAATTGTGGCTAATTAAATAAATGCTAAAAGGTGGCCCTCATAACAAAATTCTATACCATAAGAGAGACGTGTGTTTGTCAATAAAGTAGAGCACATTCTAAATGAAGGGGAAAATCTCACCCATCAAAAATCAAGCAATGACGTGTATTTCAAAAGTTCAGTCAAGTTCATGAATTTAACGGTACACATATACACCAAAACAGGAAAAGAAGACAAAATAATCAAAATCAATTGCATCAACCACTACATAACTCGGCAACAGAAACCAGTTACTTCTATTTGCCAAGTTTTATTCCTTCCTATTTTCTCCTCTTTCATGCTCTGGTGATAGGAATTTATCTAGAGGGTGTTTGGTAGAGATTAAAATCGGATTAAAATTGAAAAACTAACCGTTATTGTTGACTTTTATTAGATGAGTGAGACCCAATAACGGCTATATTTTCAATTTTAATTAGATTTTGCGCTGATAGGAATTTATCTAGAGGGTGTTTGGTAGAGATTAAAATCGGATTAAAATTGAAAAACTAGCCGTTATTGTTGACTTTTATTAGATG